AATAGGGCGCAGTGGAAGACCCTGTTTATGAGTTTTTGGCAATCCGTATAGTCGGGGTATTATTGAACCTGTGGGTCGAATGCTCTCGAAGACATTTTCAGAGATAACTTGATCAGTCTTTAGCTTTCTCAAGATCTCAGTTAGCTGTTTTTCCGTTGCTTCGGTTTTGTCTTTCTCTTTTTCGAATACTGAGAACTTATTGTTGTCTGAGAGAATCGCCATCATTTTATTAATATAATCTTTTCTATCCATTAAGACTATGCCTGTACCTTTGTCAGGACGTGTGATAAGCAATTCTTTGTTCTGCCTCAGTTGGTTGAGTTGTTCTCTATGTTCTTTGGTCAAAAGATTGTTGAACTTGGACTTTGTATTGAGATACTGTTGACAAGAGTCTGGAATAGTGGACTTGAAATGTTTGAATTCTTCTTCGGAAGCGGGGACAAGATAAGTAGTCTGATTGATCAAATTTTCAAACTCGACATAAGTATTGAGCTTGCTTATGTTGGAGTTCATGTCGCAGAATCTTGGCCCGAGAGACAAGGCCTCCAATTGTATGGGAGATAACGTTACTGAAGAATAATTGAACACAAATTTGGTAGGATCTTCTGGAAACTTGCGTCTTGTTTCTGTGGCTTTGAGACTTTTCAATAAGTTAGAATGGATGGATTGTGTACGCTTCTCCGTAACCACAGTGACATAGTCGGTAAATGCTTGTCGTTCATCACAAGACAATTCGTGTAACGCAGAGGATCGTTGCGCTATGTTCCTCTCGAGTTCTGACACAAGTGATATCTAATCTTTCTAAATATGTCTATATTACGTAACCCTACTCACATCTTACCAATCTTCACCCCACTTGGTTACAACTTTGATTATTAATCACACATTTTAACTTCTTCATTATTTTGATGATATAATCAACAACCCACACTAACTGTTATTTTGATTTTGACAAACCTAATGTACACACACACACACAAAATAATTGTATATATATTTGCGACTGTACAGCTAAGTGAATGAATTCGCCGAAAAGAGACTCTTCGCTGAACTAATTTGTTCTTATTTCAGTGTCTTAATGGGTATATTTCGCGAAATCCCGATTAATACACAATTCCTTAATGACTGACGCCTGAATTCAATGTGAATGTCCCATTGACTTCCATTTTATATGTATATTACATTTTGCTGTTAATATGCCAACATACTGTGCAAAGTCAAACGACTGACACTTGTAACTCAAGGAACATCGCACTCGCTGCAATCATTGTGAATCCGTGTTCATTTCAAAACTGTTGCATAACACAGGCAAGTGCAACTTGGAACACACCCAGATAAATGTCGTCAACACAAATTTGGTTCAAAATAGTGTTTGTTTCAGACCACGCGAGAATTAACTCACCTCCGAAATCTCTGATATTCTGTGCGTAATATCTCATCCAATCAAGATCATTTTGTATGTCATTGAGATTCCAAGTGCCAGAAACTATAACCTTATATCCATCTAGAATGGCAGTGTGGACGTGTTTTTGCCAATCTACAGTTTTCCAGACATGAATGATTGTTTTACGGTCAATCTGTTAAACCGAATGAAACATTTGTAAAGTTAGTGGTATGAACATCAAACTGATGTAACTATGCAGTTTAAATTGTAATGTACTATCGGTTGATTGTTGTTTTGGAAACAGGGGATGGCGCATTATCGAATGGATGAAGCATTTCGTTTACAGGTTGACTGTATAAAGTCATTTTACCTGAGATATCGAATTTTCTGATGCCTCTTTTCAGATGTTTGTCAGACATTTGACATGGACAAAATATGCAACACGTTAGATTTATTCAACCGAAGAATGAAATTAAATCACCTCTGTTCTTTATTCATCAAGTAAATTTTCAAGATGAGTAGCGACCTTAAATTGAACTAAATAAATGTTGATTTGATTCTGTTCATGTTTGTTAACAGTGAAAATGTAGATACAAGTTTCTTTCCGTTCAAGACTCATCAACTAGCGGTATGATCACTCTAATGAACGACAAGTTTACCACTGGAACTGGGAACAAAGATAAAAGCCAGGATGTCTGTTCTGGAATCCCATGTGCCAACAGACACTCACCACAGAGATATAGAGAACGAAAATTTCCATTAACGAAGTGAAATCCTGTGTCTTGTTCAAAGTGAATAATCACATGAAATAACTTCAATGATCAAATACAACCACATGACTTCACGATCAAGCACAGGGATTGTTCTGCTGTATTTAGGTCGACTGGGTTGTGAAAGTGAGAGAGCTTAGCCACACTCAGCATGACAGACTCCACTGGACAAGTATTAAGAGAAAATATTCTCCTATCACCATGCATGAAGTAATACCCAAACGCAGCATTCAGCGACCTAGATCTGTTTGCCTGATGGTGATGAGATAGATGGATTATTTTATCTCTATCTCAGCCAACATGGAACAAACGTTTTAGACGTGAACTAAAATAACTTGAAAATAAATGCTTGCAATAATCTGTCATTGAAGTATTCGTCAAAATATATGACTGAATCACAACATTACTCCTTATCGTCAAGTAAAAAGGACTGATAATGTTTTGTCAGTGGGACACAGATAATCATCACTGAATATCGAGTGTAGTGATCTAATTACAAGCATATTTTCCAAAACTTACTTCACATTCATCAACATAACTCTCCTGGTACACAATTGGAGTGATCGGTAATGCAGGGTCTCTCGTCATGTTCTTAACAATCTCGATAAGTTTCACAAAGTGATATTTATGTAATTGGTAATAATCCTCACCGAATCCCATGTCTCTCATGAATCTAGTTATTTCTGGATTCGACCGCCTAAAATGAACAGGAAGACATTAAATTTATTTGTTACATGTTCTTGTCGATGATTCAATTTTAACTGCCTACAAATATGGAGCAGCAATATGAAGTCTTCCGTTAATCTACATGAATTAATTGTTAAAATACAACTTGATCAGAGATTGTTGATGAGGATTTTCTATTCCACTCAATGGAAGGAAGAGAATGAGATAGATGGGTGCTGTAATATTCAGTGTTCTACTGAAGAAGAAGAAGAAATAGTCGTGTCTTATGGACAGTTGTCTTCATTCGTTTATGTTAACCAATCAGAAGAGGAATAATGTGAGATTATATTTCACTGGCGGTATGTAGCGACCATTTTTGATTGAAATAAATGTCTTGCAATCCACTGGTAATATCAGATAAATGGACACTTTAATACAAAATTATATTTTGCTAAATCAGTTAGTCAGTTTTAGAAACGGTCGAATTTTGTTGTACACTGTTTCCTGTACACACAGTTTTTTATGTAAGTTATTGGGCATCCTCAGCACAAAGTTAAAAATGACGTCACGACACCACTTAAAGTGGTGTTTGTTTTCATATTACTTGTCAACCAACAAATCGGAAACTTAAATGCGGTGACGTCTTACTGAAAATACCATCCATGTCACTTCCTAGTGCTTAAATCGAGAGTTGTTCTTCCTGTTACTGCTAAGGAATAATTATTGAAATTCAGTTGAGTTCATGGGAAAATTGTTTAAATGAGGCTAGTTCAGCGCCTGTTAATCTGAGACAGATAAAAGTATGCCTTCAGTTTGAAATGAAAATATGGCGATGCCATAATATTGATTCTATGTTTACTCTTATGTAAAATCAACAGTACTCACCAGCACTCATAGTCAACCTCATTGCCACCAAGGTGAATGTAATTGTCATGAAATTTACTGACGATTTCTTTAAAGAATTTCTCCAAAATATCATACAACGATGAATTGGCTGGATTCATTGGACCCAACTTTCCATTTGGTTCAGCCTCGTCGTAACATTTGGTTAGTAAATCTGGATATCCTTTCCCCCATGACAATGTATGCGCTACAAAAGATAATTGTGACACTCGATGGAAATCAGCCTTACAATATTTCTTTTTTTCGGCGAATTCTGCTGTCTGAAATTATACACTATTCAACTCGTATAACACATGAATTTCGCACTAACTACGTTGGTCCATTCAAGGATCAACTGCAAGACTTTGAATGCGAACATTGGACCAATAATATTCACGTAGTTCACTGGTCGGATAATTCCGCATATTGGCTAGATAATAGTTGGCGACTGAACAGAATCACAAACTGTGAATTTTTCACAACCACCTTGGGTTTGTAATTTCTAGCAAACTCAAACCTGCTAGGTAACTCAGCAAAGGTAAACGCCTCTCATCATCTCCTTGCTTCAACACACATTCAAACACGAAATCATGCATAAACTGCACTATATTTTTGATGACTATCTTGAATTGGTTGATAGACAGTTTTCTTTCAACATTATTCCAAGAGCAAGTTCAAACTGAATCAAATCTTTACATGGTATTATTTCATTTGAACTCACATGATGGACAATTACATCATATTAAATATATATTTAAAATTACCTACCTGGAGTATCAAACTCTGGAATCACACGAATTCCACGTTGACGGGCGTAGTTCAAAAGATTAGTCACATCTTCTTCACTATATGTGCACTTCAGAGGATGATATGCGCCCTGTTGTAGTTTAAACAAACATTTCGATCAATGAATGACCTGATTTTCACTTCACTCACCTGCTTCGACAGTTCTGGACAAGTAGTGGAGACAAAGGGAAATGATTGATCATCTGTAATATGCCAGTGAAACACATTCATCTTGACCATGGCCATGCTATCCTGGTAAGAGAAAGCATCATACCTACTATTGCACTTCTTACTATTAGTTTCTCCAGGATATCAAGTGGCAAGAAGTACCTCGCAGTATCTATCAGCATTCCACGATGTACGAATTCTGGTTCGTCCATCAAAAATCCTTTAAATATAACATTCTGTATGATGAAATGAATTAATGAAATCAAGCCAAAGGTAAAAACGAAACTCACCCCTCCAACTTCATCTTGGTACACCAATTGAAGTATGGTCTCAAGGGCGTGTAAAGCACCCCAAACCTCACTGGAGACTATGGAAATTTGGGAGTCTTCTATCTTCACATTATCTGCAAAATGGTGATTGAATTAGTCGTGGCGATAGAACTCACATGATTCATCAGTTGATGCAGTTAATGATGGCCATAGCTCACCAAGGCTTTCGTCACATCCCAATTCGATTTTGATAGTCAGAGTGTTAATGTTGCATGGGACTTCAACTTTTTCAGAAATTGGCGGATGCTTTGATCCCAACCGATTTTCAAATCTCTTTACAGCATCTGACAATACATCGCATTTGGAATAGCTGTGTTGAATGGCAAGTGGGCGTTTTAAATTACAAACTGTCGAAGATTTTTCGTATTTTGACGGCTTCGGAACTATTGCTAATGTATAAAGTGAGTTATTGAGCAGCAGTGCAATCAAGAACAACACAGAATTAAAAATCATGACTTCTCTTTTCTTGTCAATATCTTTTTTACCTCAATCTCAGTTGATTTTATGTTAACACTGAAATGGACTTTGATCTCATCTGATATTTAATGACAGAATCACCACACAATCACATGAGTATTTCATCTAAGTAATTCTATTTTCCAATTGAATATGGTCACAAACTGAACTGGTTGATGTGAGAGGTGTGCAGTTACTCGTATCCACCAATCAGTGTTGTGTAGGTTTTGTATGAAATGAATACAACTCCCAACAGTTGACACACACATGGGTTAACGTGTTTTATGTCAAGCCATGACTATAAAACTTCGGCTGATTGTTGCACAGTGGTAGTTAGAAGTTTTAGATCCTTATGGAGAATACGCAGCACTTCAACTAGAACCACCTGTCAAGTTTTCAATAATTTGAACAACTTTCAATAATTCTTATGCATTTCTGGTAAAATCGAAACTAGAAAACTGCATCCAGGTAGCCAGTCCTTGTCTCAAGACAGTCTCACAGATAGTAAAAGAACACCAAAAGAATTCTAGGCGTGCGATTTTCGGTTTGACCATTTTATCAAAGTAGAAAGCACAACAGTTTAAATCCCTTTTCCTTATCATACTATTGGCAGACCGGATATCTCGTCACAAGGTTATAATATCTAAAAAATGACCATGAAATTGACCTATCTTTTCTTTTCCTCCCCACGCAACATGTGCATTTCAAGAGAAATAGGAGGACCGTTCAGAAAACGAGGAAGAACTATATTGTTGTGAGTACCATTTCTTCGATCAAGTCTTCAGTTGACGCATTCAAGATGAAATTAAGCAAGTAGAGGTATCTATTAGAAAAGCCTTCTATCGTCAATCAAGAAATGCTTTGTTGGGTGTGAAGCACCCTAAGTGAGCGGATTTTGGACCTTGAGGATGTTTTAATCAGACAGCCTTCGTTCACTTGATAGTCTTTCCACGTGTTTGAGGAAGAGTAAAAGGGTCTAAGATGAGCAGCAGAAAGAGGTAAAAACGAAGATTGGAACGAGTGAGCCAGTCGATACCGAATTTGGAAAAATGATAAAAAGAGAGAGAAATATGTAGAAGCTAAACGATTGATAAAAATTAGGCACACACGTATGATGGAATAAAAAGACAAGGCGG